AACAGTTCTAGGTGAGGTTTGAGTGGAAGGGCCGAAGGTCAAACAGCTGGAGCCTCTCAGTGGCCTTACAGCTTGTCTGCCAGCTAGAGGGTGCGAGTAGTGCCGCACTGATTGGCTTCTCCTCGACTTTCTGATTTTTGTATCCTGCCAGACCTAGCACAGTGTCTTGAAAATAGAATAAAAAGAAAACAAAACAAAAAACCAAGCAAACTCACTGCCGTCGCCTTGATTCCAACCCCTGGCAACCCCATGTGTTACAGAGCGGAACTGCTCCATAGGATTTTCTTAGCTGTAATCTTTATGGAAGCAGATCTTCCATGGCGCCACTGGGTAGGTTTGAACCACCAACCTTTCCATTAATAGCTGAGCACAAACCGTTTACACACCCAAGCACCTGCACATAATACACCAAACCCATTGCCATCGAGTTGATTCCGACTCATAGCGAACGACCCTGTAGGACAGAGCAGAACTGTCCCATAGGGTTTCCAAGGAGCAACGGATGGATTCAAACTGCCAACTTTTTGGTTAGCAGCCTGAGCTCTTAACCCCTGCACCACCAGGGCTCCCCACAAAGTATAGGGTTCAATAAATATCTACGGATAACTGCCTTGAGTTGGAGGCAGAAGCTGAGAAGCACAGCCCCCTTCCTTAGTCTCTCGGGAAGCTCAGCCCCTCACACCTGCATGACTCTGAGCCTGACTCTAGAGGGCAGGAGCACACTGGGACTCAGGCTAATGTGTGAAGCTGCATAAACTCCTGATGGTCAAAGCCCGCTTACTTGCAGAGAAACTGGGGCACAGGCAAGAGAGACCATGCATCCCACTCAGTACCCTAAACCCGGCTTCTCACATGCATCACACTCAGTACCCCAAACCTGGCTTCTGAGTCCCTGAACCACTAACACACACGTCACTGCAGGAGCTTGCCCTCTTTCTTAGAGCAGCTGGAAATGTCCAGCCCCTGGCAACTGCACAACCCACCGCTGTCCCATCGATTCCCACTCACAGCAACCCCGTAGGACAGAGCAGAACTGCCCCATACAGTTTCCAAGGCTGTAATCTTTTTGGAAGCAGACGGCCACATCTTTCTCCCGCGGAGCGGCTCGTGGGTTCAAACTGGCAACCTTTAGGTTAGCAGCTGAGCACTTTAACCAGTGCACCACCAGGGCCCCCAACTGCACAATACTCATAACGTTTTCCTTTATATCTCATCAAAAAAAAAAAAAAAAAACCCATTGCCGTCAAGTCAATTCCGACTCACAGCAACCCTATAGGACAGAGTAGAACTGCCCCATAGGGTTTCCAAGGAGTGGCTGGTAGATTTGAACTATCGACCTTTTGGTTAGCAGCTGAGCTCTTAACCACTGTGCCACCAGGGCTCATTATTCCTCATCAGCCTCTCAAAATTCTAACACTTCTGGAATGAGGATAATTCTCTTCCAAACCTGACAGGTCATTCATTCATTCATTTGTTCAGTGACTTTTTCTTGAGGCCTTATTCTATGTGGCAAGAACATTCCAGGGGCTGGAGATACAAAACAGTGAACAAAACAGAGAGCCCTGCCTTTTGGAACTCACACTCTAGTGGGAGACCATAAACAACACTGTAAATTATACAGACGTTAAACATTGATAAGTGCATGAGAAAAAGACAAAGCGGCACAGGGTAGGGGAGATCCGAGAGGTCAGGGCAGGTGTGGAGTGTGAGTTATTTAAACAGAGCAACAGGAAGGCCTCCCTGAGGAGGTGACGTGCGAGCAGAGTAGGGGAGAGGGCAAGGCATGCTGATGTCCGGGGACCAGCATTCCAGTGGAGGGGACTGGGGCAGAGGCTCTAGGCCCGGGGCATCCTGGTGTGTGTGAGGAAGGGCAATGAACGCCAGGGGACTTGCCAGGCAGGTATCCTTTTTGTTGGTTCATTCGCTTGTTCCACAAACATTTACTGAAGATCTTAGAAAGGCACGGCCCCACCCTCAAATCCAAGCCCACTACCACCAAGCTGACTCAATTGTGACTCATACTGACCCCAAAGGACAGAGTGGAACTTCCCCATAGGGTTTCCAAGGCTGTAATCTTTGTGGAAGCAGACGGCCACATCTTTCTCCCGTGGAGCAGCTGGTGGGTTCGAACCACTGACCTTTTGGTTAGCGGCCAAGCGCTTAACCAGTGCGCCACTAGGGCTCCTCTCTACACTCAAGGAGCCTCTAATTCTGAGGCTAGGGTCTGCAGGGGGTAAACAGCAAACACAGCTCTGGCAGAGCTAGGCTCAGGGCCCATGCCCAGCCTGGGGTGGTGAAGGTCCCCTGGAGCCCAGGAGAAAGCCTCGGAGACACTTGGCTAGATTAGGCACCCGCCCCCGACTTTGACGCTACTGACAACACTGGCTGTGTTGACCTTGCTGACTTCTTCCTTAGCTAAAAGCCTTCCAAAGATCAGATTTAAAAAAAAAAAAAATTTCTTAATTGTGGACGTACACCGTTTGCCATGTCCTAGCGGGCCTCAGACCAAAACAGTAGATGCCAGATGGAAAGATCTGGGAGAGGCCATACTGGAGGGAAGCTAGCGAGGCGATGGGTTGAGGCTGGTTTTCTGAGACCCCTGGGAACCAGGAAATGGCGGCATACACCCTGGTTCATTAGGGGTGATCGCCCTATCACATTCACATCGCCACGGCCTCCAGCGGCACTCGGTGGAACACTAGCATTTCCAAGGAATTACCAGCACCCCCTGCAGGGCTCAGCCTCAAGCTACCAGTCTTTGTTGAGAAGAGTCTGTTGGATTAAAATGTGAAATCAGAAAGCTCAGTTTAATGGAGCGAGCATAGCTACGGCTGCTCACCAAAAGGTCGGCAGTTCGAATCCACCAGCCGCTCCCTGGAAACCGTATGGGGCAGTTCTACTTTGTTGGAATCGACTCCACGGCAACAGATTAGGGCTTTTTTTTTGGGGGGGGGGGTGTCTAAGAGATGCTAACTCTGTTTTCCCAGCTTAATGAAAGAGCACTCCTTGAGCTGGGAGTCCAAGGACAGCCCTGCGGGGATCCAGGAAGCGTCCCACCCTAGGAGGGCTCAGCCCTGCAGATCACAGGCTGGGAAGCCTGGCCGGGCTGATTCACACTGGCTGGATCCAGATCTGGGCTGAACGGAGGGAATGTGATGATGGGTGTGTCACCAACCACACTCCCAAAGACCATAGACGTGGTAATAAGCAAGCTGCCCTGGAGTCCTAGCCAGATTCCTGACCAGGGGACATAGGGAAGTCTTCCGGGCCATGAGGCTGGGGGTGGGGTGGGATGGGGATGGGGGACAAAATCCTCCCTGAGCACTGCTTCTCTGTCCCAGGCTCAGGTACCTGGGAGAAACAGGTTCCTGGGTCTGCATCCCCAAAGTTCCCCCCAGGCTCTGCCATCATCCTCCAGACCAGGGCATCCACGTCCCTCCATCCCTCCAGTCTCTCTGCAGTAGGGCAGCCTTCTCCCAGCTGTCTCCCTCTCTGGCTTCTATTATTCCAGCCGACCTCTCCGAGGGAGGGATGCGGACAGCTAGGTCAGCTGTGCGCTGAGACTCAATCTATAAACTTAAAAAAAGAGGACACCAAATCCCCACCCAAGCATCTTTTCAGAAGGAGCCTGAAACAGCCAGCTCCTCTATGCCACCCCGTGGCCCACTGATATAGCCAGTTACACGGCTGTCCTCCGCTCTGTTCCAGAAACCACTGAAGGGATCTTCTGGCTTGCTTCCAGCTAGACTTCAGAAGTCGTTCGGAGCCCTGTGTCTGAGCAGTTTCAGTCAGGAGGGGCTCTACCGACAGAAATGAAGGCAGGGAGGGCTCTTAAACAGCAGTCCCCAGGTGTAGGATGAGTTTCCCCATCCTTTATAAATAGCCTTCCTGTTTGCCTCCTCACTCCCTTCAGCCTAGGAGAGTTTTACTCTGTAATTGGCTTGTTTACTGTCACTCTGAGGGCTCCTGAGTGGCAGAGGTGGGAGGAAAGTCTTGTTGGAAAGAAAGGGGTGTGTGTGCCCTGAGCTTTGAGGCTGGTGAGTAAACCCTCCAAGTGCCTCCCTAACGACCTGAGAACCGGCCAAGAACCCATGTGAGAAAAATACAGAAGGCAAGGCTAGGCCAGGGGAAGATTCACACGAGACCACAGGAGGGAAGCTTATGTGTGGCGCCTGGGAAGACAGAACAATAACCAAAACTTAATCGCTTGCTTCTGCTGAATAGTTGAAAGTGTTATTTAGCATTGTTCTGAGCAGGTAACCAACTAGAAACCTCCTAATTCTCCTGCTTCTCTGGACTAGGAGTTCTAATGAGGTCACTCCGCTTTTCAAAAATGTCTGCTAGCTCCAAGCTAACTTACAGTCCCAACTTTGAAGGCTCTTCATCACAGAGGCCCAAACTACTCAGCCTCCCCCACCTTAACCTGCCCCAGGAACTATACTCCAGCTGAAAAGAACCACATGCTTCCCTTCCCTACTCAGGTCCTCTGCTCATGGGGTTCCCTCTGACTCAAGTACCAGGTTACTCGTCAAAAGCCTCCTCGTCTTTTAAGTCTCCTCAAACGCTCCCTCCTGTGTGAAGGCTTTCCTGGTTCTCCAGACCCTTTCCCACCACTCCTCAATCAGATATGCAGGATCTGCGCTCTCAACCTCCGTAACGGCTCTCGGCTTCTTTGAAGGCATGTGCTTTACTCTGCTTCAGTAGCTCCCTGAGGTCTCGCACTCTCCCTCCAGCTAGACCATTGGTTCTGCAGGAGCAAGGGCTGTGTCTTACTCAGTTTGACTCACGTGAAGCACAAGGCACAGTCCCTGGCAGACAGCAGATGCTTAAGAATTGGTTTTTTTGCTGCCCTGAATATCGTTCACCCTAGAAGCATAGGAAGTGATGGGCAAAGGGACAGAGTCACACAAACCGAACGCTAAGCTCAGCAGAAACAAAACGGGCAAGCGTTCAAGAGGCACCATAAAGCAATGGAACACAAGCACTCCATCAGACCTTACCCTTCTTGAACTCTTCCAGCATAGCGTCCAACTTGGTGTCGTGGAAGACAAAGTGGACGGGGTGGTTGTAGAAGCGGGTGATGGTCTTGAGGGGGGTGCAGTCATCAGGGTCCACGAAGGCCAAGTCTTTTACATAGAGAATATCTACAATATTGGATTGCTCGTCTTCAAACACAGGAATGCGGGTATAGCCGCTTTCCATAATCTCTGACATAGTGTTGAAGTTCAGGATGGCATCACTGGGGATCATGAAGCAGTCTTGGAGCTGGGTCATGACATCCTCCACAGTCTTGGTCCGTAACTCCAGGGCACCCTGGATCATGTTGAGCTCCTCTTTCACGAGATCATTGTAGGGCTCCGTCACCTTCAGCATCTCCATCAGCTTCTCCCGGTTGTAAACCGTGCCAATCTCCTGGCCCAGGACGAAGTCCAGGAGCTTGCTGACGGGGTAACTGAGTGGGAAAGTGAGCAGCATAAAAAATTTGGTGAGACTGATGGTGTTGGCACCCACGGCCAACCCATGTCGGGAGCACAGGGCCTGAGGCACGATCTCCCCAAAGATGACGATGCCAATAGTGGAGGAGGCCACCGCCATGAGGCCAGATCCAATGAGGTTGTCTAAAAGGATGGTGAGGGAGGTGTTGACCAGCACGTTTCCCAGGAGCAGCGAGCAGAGCAAGTAGTTGCCCTTGCGCCGGATGGGCTCAATCTTGCGGGCATAGCGCTTCTCCTTGTCAGTGCCACAGTTCTGCACTATGCGCAGCTCCATGGGGTCCAGGGCCATGAGGCCCAGGTTAAGGCCAGAAAACATGCCCGACAGCACCAGCAGCACCATAACGAGGAGGATGTGCAGCCAGAGGGGCAGGAAGCTCCCGGCCTCCTCCACCATGAACAGCAGCGAGTCTTTGTCCGTCCACCTCTCCCAGGGCCGGTCCACCGCGGCGCGGGTGCACAGGGCATACAGCTTGATGTTCTCGCTCCTCCGCAGGAACTTGGTGAGCACCACCAGCATCCCGGACGTGTTCCCGCGGCTCACATTGACCAGCTGCTGGACCACCAGGTCCTTGGTGAGCTCCGGGCAGCTGGTGGAGTTGCGGGAGGTCTCGGAGTCGTCCACCTCGGTGAAGGAGATCAGGTTGCTGGAGACGGCGCCCAGCCGCTGGCCGTACAGCCTCAGGTTCACGGTGCTGCCCTCGGACACGAAGATGATGCCGTCCGAGTTCATCCCACACGACTTGTTGCAGCTCGCCAGCCTCATGCCCAGGACCGTGCCCTGCAGGGGGTCGCCCTGGCCCCGGGCCCCCCGCGCCCACAGCAGCACCGGCAGCACCAGCGCCACCAGGAGGAGGCGCCCTCGGGCCAGA